GGAAAAACCGGAGGAAAAAATGACAAAAGTCCAACTCTAATAAATTCAATTACCACCTAAACACTCAAAAAAAAGCCCACAAAAACCGAAGAAAAAAGAGCTAAAAAAAGTGTGAAAAAATCACACTGAAATACAAAAAAAATACTAACTAAATACTATTAAAAAGACAGGAAAAACCGGAGGAAAAAATGACAAAAGTCCAACTCTAATAAATTCAATTACCACCTAAACACTCAAAAAAAAGCCCACAAAAACCGAAGAAAAAAGAGCTAAAAAAAGTGTGAAAAAATCACACTGAAATACAAAAAAAAATACTAACTAAATACTATTAAAAAGACAGGAAAAACCGGAGGAAAAAATGACAAAAGTCCAACTCTAATAAATTCAATTACCACCTAAACACTCAAAAAAAAGCCCACAAAAACCGAAGAAAAAAGAGCTAAAAAAAGTGTGAAAAAATCACACTGAAATACAAAAAAAATACTAATTCAATACTATTAAAAAGACAGGAAAAACCGGAGGAAAAAGTGACAAAAGTCCAACTCTAATAAATTCAATTACCACCTAAACACTCAAAAAAAAGCCCACAAAAACCGAAGAAAAAAGAGCTAAAAAAAGTGTGAAAAAATCACACTGAAATACAAAAAAAATACTAACTAAATACTATTAAAAAGACAGGAAAAACCGGAGGAAAAAATGACAAAAGTCCAACTCTAATAAATTCAATTACCACCTAAACACTCAAAAAAAAGCCCACAAAAACCGACGAAAAAAGAGCTAAAAAAAGTGTGAAAAAATCACACTGAAATACAAAAAAAATACTAACTAAATACTATTAAAAAGACAGGAAAAACCGGAGGAAAAAGTGACAAAAGTCCAACTCTAATAAATTCAATTACCACCTAAACACTCAAAAAAAAGCCCACAAAAACCGAAGAAAAAAGAGCTAAAAAAAGTGTGAAAAAATCACACTGAAATACAAAAAAATACTAACTAAATACTATTAAAAAGACAGGAAAAACCGGAGAAAAAAATGACAAAAGTCCAACTCTAATAAATTCAATTACCACCTAAACACTCAAAAAAAAGCCCACAAAAACCGAAGAAAAAAGAGCTAAAAAAAGTGTGAAAAAATCACACTGAAATACAAAAAAAATACTAACTAAATACTATTAAAAAGACAGGAAAAACCGGAGGAAAAAATGACAAAAGTCCAACTCTAATAAATTCAATTACCACCTAAACACTCAAAAAAAGCCCACAAAAACCGACGAAAAAAGAGCTAAAAAAAGTGTGAAAAAATCACACTGAAATACAAAAAAAAATACTACCTAAATACTATTAAAAAGACAGGAAAAACCGGAGGAAAAAGTGACAAAAGTCCAACTCTAATAAATTCAATTACCACCTAAACACTCAAAAAAAAGCCCACAAAAACCGAAGAAAAAAGAGCTAAAAAAAGTGTGAAAAAATCACACTGAAATACAAAAAAAATACTACCTAAATACTATTAAAAAGACAGGAAAAACCGGAGGAAAAAGTGACAAAAGTCCAACTCTAATAAATTCAATTACCACCTAAACACTCAAAAAAAAGCCCACAAAAACCGAAGAAAAAAGAGCTAAAAAAAGTGTGAAAAAATCACACTGAAATACAAAAAAAAATACTACCTAAATACTATTAAAAAGACAGGAAAAACCGGAGGAAAAAGTGACAAAAGTCCAACTCTAATACATTCAATTACCACCTAAACACTCAAAAAAAAGCCCACAAAAACCGAAGAAAAAAGACCTAAAAAAAGTGTGAAAAAATCACACTGAAATACAAAAAAAAATACTACCTAAATACTATTAAAAAGCCAGGAAAAACCGGAGGAAAAAGTGACAAAAGTCCCACTCTAATACATTCAATTACCACCTAAACACTCAAAAAAAAGCCCACAAAAACCGAAGAAAAAAGAGCTAAAAAAAGTGTGAAAAAATCACACTGAAATACAAAAAAAATACTACCTAAATACTATTAAAAAGACAGGAAAAACCGGAGGAAAAAGTGACAAAAGTCCAACTCTAATAAATTCAATTACCACCTAAACACTCAAAAAAAAGCCCACAAAAACCGAAGAAAAAAGAGCTAAAATAAGTGTGAAAAAATCACACTGAAATACAAAAAAAATACTAACTAAATACTATTAAAAAGACAGGAAAAACCGGAGGAAAAAATGACAAAAGTCCAACTCTAATAAATTCAATTACCACCTAAACACTCAAAAAAAAGCCCACAAAAACCGAAGAAAAAAGAGCTAAAAAAAGTGTGAAAAAATCACACTGAAATACAAAAAAAATACTAACTAAATACTATTAAAAAGACAGGAAAAACCGGAGGAAAAAATGACAAAAGTCCAACTCTAATAAATTCAATTACCACCTAAACACTCAAAAAAAAGCCCACAAAAACCGAAGAAAAAAGAGCTAAAAAAAGTGTGAAAAAATCACACTGAAATACAAAAAAAATACTAACTAAATACTATTAAAAAGACAGGAAAAACCGGAGGAAAAAATGACAAAAGTCCAACTCTAATAAATTCAATTACCACCTAAACACTCAAAAAAAAGCCCACAAAAACCGAAGAAAAAAGAGCTAAAAAAAGTGTGAAAAAATCACACTGAAATACAAAAAAAATACTAACTAAATACTATTAAAAAGACAGGAAAAACCGGAGGAAAAAATGACAAAAGTCCAACTCTAATAAATTCAATTACCACCTAAACACTCAAAAAAAAGCCCACAAAAACCGAAGAAAAAAGAGCTAAAAAAAAGTGTGAAAAAATCACACTGAAATACAAAAAAAATACTAACTAAATACTATTAAAAAGACAGGAAAAACCGGAGGAAAAAATGACAAAAGTCCAACTCTAATAAATTCAATTACCACCTAAACACTCAAAAAAAAGCCCACAAAAACCGAAGAAAAAAGAGCTAAAAAAAGTGTGAAAAATTACAGTAATTAAGTGTTTGAAGAACATTTATTCTATGATTTATTTTTACCGTATAATCAAACTATTTGAAATAATAAGTTTTCAAATGCGTTTAAGAAAAAACCTACTTATATTATAATAGAACTTGATATTAAATCACTTCATTTAGAATCATTTCTATACTTTTTAAAGGCTATTTGATGCTTTTCTTAGAAAAGTATAGCTTTCGAAGAAATTCTACGGTAAACGATAAAATCAAACGATTATGTAAATAACAACATAAATTAACAACCAAATGAATTTGCAATGGTTATAAGCTAATTAATAAACAAATTGGCCCAAATTTAGCTTTTTCTTTTACTTATTTACTGAAATTCTAACATTAAACTGTTAGAAAATCAACAGGTGTTTTTCAATGAAAAAAGAGGTACTTAAGTGTGGCTAATCGTTTTTAAGGGTGCATAAAGTTGTTAATTAATAAGTAATCATTAGATTAACTTACATTTTGAATTATTTCTGGTATTTCAAAGCGCTGAAAAAAGTCACACACACACAACACTATCACCGAGGTTCTAGTCAAAAATATCGCACCGAACACGATATTTTTTTCACAAACGAGAAGTCCCCGAATACACAAAAAAACGAAAAAACGATTTAGAAAACGCGAACCGAATTTGAATTAAAACTTAAATTAACCGGCCAAACTGAAAAGTTCGTACGGTTAATTCCGTTATAGACACAAAATGGCGCCAAGCCAAGCTTCTGAAACCGAAGTGACGCTTAGTTAAATCAGTGTTGCCAACTTTTAGCTCTTTAGGTTTGCTTGAATGATTTGTTATAATTCATATAATTATTGGTAATTTAAAAGTAGTACGACAGTATTAAATTAGTTTAGTTAAAACAATTTTGAATCAGTTGTATAATTAAAAACATAGGACTATAATAACCCGTTACTGAATACTACCACCGACAGAGGCCAATGAGCAGAAAGAAAAATGTAAATGACATGACATGACTGATGACATGACAAGTGACTTTGTTGTGGTGTTGTTTATAACAAAAATCAACATTGTATTTTTTAAGAAAAGGAATATAATTTCCTAATTTTGTAGCATTGGCACTATAAAAGAAGCGACAAATAAACCATCAGCAATATTCAGTATAATATTTTGGGTTTTTTCTGCCATTTTCTAGTTAGATCCAACAGTTCTTCCTTTGGTTGGAGTATCATTCGTTAAAAGATGTTTCGCACGTAAGTAGTTGCTAATAATATGTTAATAAAGCTAAACCTTATTCATTTATGGTTGTGTTGAACAAAAATAGTAAAAATTCGTTGAAATTTAACAAGCTAACACTTGATTTTTTGTACCCGTAGAATGAAAAGTAGTGTTAGATATTTCTCATTACAACTTCCTTATTTTGCAGGCTTAGCACTAAAAATAGGAAGTAATTGTCAACTATAAACGAAAAATGAACCACCAGCAGCAATTATAGGACAATGTTTTGGATTTATTCTACTATTTTTGGCCTTTGATTGAAACCATTCTTCCTTCAATTGGAGTATTTTTGAGCACAAGAATAACGTATTTAAAACGTAAGTACTTACAAATAATATATTACTAAAGCAAAATATCATTCGTACACAATCAATTTCAACAAGAATTATAAAAATACATTGGCAAATAAGGTAGAACGATTGATTTTTTGTTACCCGTAGAATTTCTTTTAGAAAGAAGTTTTCTTTTACTTATAATTTCCTTTATTTTATAGAATTTACACCCGAAAATGGAGGCAACTTTTAGCTAAAAACGTGGAAGAAAGAATCAGAACAGAAGAAATATATTTTGTTATTTATTTGTTAGTTATTGTACATCATCTATTCCTTTATTCAAACAAATCTTCTTCGTTTGGGGAAAATTTAAGTAATTACTAATATTTTTTAATAAAACAAAAGGTCATTCAAGAATTAACAATTTTTGGATTTTTGTTTTACATCATTTTATTTTATTTTCTAGGATTGGATGAGAAAATTGGAAGCAAATGATAGTATGTTTTAAGTGTAATTAATTTAATATTAAATAAAAAGTATTTGAATATTTAGTGTCACTTTATTGGTACTAAAAAATAGCAACATTTAAAATATGCACTTATACTGAACGTTCAACTTCGAGCTGTGGAATAATTAGAAAGAGAGAAATCAGTCGAACTGAATAATTTAGAACGTTCTAGAATAATTTAGACATCTCTACAATCATTTAGAACCGTCTGAGTTCTAGAATGCTCAAGAATCATTTAGAACGTTCAAGAATTATTTAGTAGTCTAAAACAAAGTAGTCTTGAAAACGGAAGAAAACTGTCAAAATTCCAAGGAAACTCTCCAAATTATCCAAATTGACTGTATTTCTAGTCATATCGAGTTCTAATCCTCTCTCATAAGGCTTGAAACAGCTGAATAATCCTGAAAAATAGAAAAAAAAAACATTAAAATGGGTTCAATCTCATAGAAAATTCAATTCTTACCTTTTCAGTATTCATTTTGAAGACATAATAGTCTTGAAAACGGAAAAAAACTTTCAAAATTCCAAGAAAACTCTCCAAATTATCCAAATTGACTGCATTGCTTGTCGTATCGAGTTCTAATCCTCTCTCATAAGGCTTGAAAAAAGCTGAATAATCCTGAAAAATAGAAAAAAAAACATTAAAAAGGGTTTAATCTCATGGAAGATTCAATTCTTACCTTTTTAGTATTCATTTTGAAGACATAATAGTCTTGAAAACGAAAGAAAACTGTCAAAATTCCAAAGAAGCTCTCCAAATTATCCAAATTGACTGCATTGCTTGTCGTATCGAGTTCTAATCCTCTCTCATAAGGCTTGAAAAAAGCTGAATAATCCTGAAAAATAGAAAAAAAAAACATTAAAAAGGGTTTAATCTCATGGAAGATTCAATTCTTACCTTTTTAGTATTCATTTTGAAG